TCAGTTCCACACAGCTGGTTGTTGCAAGTGTTAAACCTATATAAAATCCACCCAACAATTAAACTATTTTTACAATCCACTATGCAAAACTGGCAAACTGTTCTTAGCATCAATCAAACTACGGCAAAAATAGTCACTCAACCAATTTACATTAAAAGAGGTATTTTCCAGGGCGATGCTCTGAGCCCTTTATGGTTCTGCATGGCATTGAACCCACTATCACACTTATTAAACAGAACAAATGCAGGTTACACCCTAACAAATAATGGTACACAATACATACTAACACACCTAATGTATATGGACGATATCAAATTGTACGCAGCAGATCAAATGTTATTATCCCATTTAGCAGATGTAACACAACAGTTTTCTACAGATATCTGCATGCAATTTGGAGTAGACAAGTGTAAAGTTATGTCAGTGGTTAAAGGGAAAGTTGAGAATAACAGTTACACACTTCAAACGGGCCAAACGATAGAACCCATGGAGGAACATGACACGTATAAATATTTAGGTTTTAGGCAATCTAGACAAATACAACACAAAAACACAAGACAGGAACTCATAAGAAAATTTACACATAGACTTAATCTTATTCTCAAGACAAATTTAAACGCTAGGAACACAATTAAAGCTATCAACACATTTGCAATACCTATTCTCACTTACTCCTTTGGAATAATACAATGGTCTAAAACAAATACCCGGAAATTACAACAAACCATCAACGCAACACTCACTAAACACCGAAAACATCATCCTAAATCATGCATACAACGACTCACGTTAACACGTAAAGAAGGAGGAAGAGGATTAATAGACATACAAAATCTACACAACAAACAAATTTCAAGCCTTAGAACCTATTTTCACAGTAAATCAGAACACTCGTTACTTCATACACATATTGTAGAAACAGACAAAAACTTCACACCGCTAAATCTGCAAAGCCGAGATACGCAAACAAATGAAATTATTGTTAACGATGAAGACAAGATTGCAGTATGGTCAGAAAAAGCGCTTCACGGAAGACATCGATCGTTCTTGAGCCAACCACACGTCGATAAAATTAAATCGAACGAATGGCTCAAACGTGGTGAATTGTTTCCCGAAACCGAAGGCTTTATGCTGGCCATACAAGATCAAGTCATAGCAACCCGCAACTATAGAAAATACATAATGAAAGATCCTAATCAGCAAAATGACCTATGCCGACACTGCAACCTGGCCTCAGAAACTATCCAGCACGTTACCGGAGCTTGTAAATCTCTCGCCCAGACTGACTACAAGCACAGGCACGATCAAGTCTCGGCCATAATACACCAACACCTAGCTTATAGATATAGCCTAGTTGATCAAATAACCGCGTACTATAAATATAAGCCCGAAACAATATTAGAAAATAGAAATTGTAAAATATATTGGGACCGAACCATTGTAACAGATAAAACGATACATTTTAATAGACCGGATATTACAGTACATGACAAAGCGAATAAAATAGTATACTTGATTGATATTGCTATCCCAAACTCACACAACATACAATCAACCATATCCGAAAAATTAAGTAAATACCAAGATCTTGCCATAGAAATTAAAACGCAGTGGAGAGTGCAAACAGTTCACATTGTCCCCATAGTCCTTTCAACCACCGGTATTATACCGAAGTCCCTCACACAAAGTCTTAATACTCTGCAAATGCCTGCATACACTCTCCACACGCTACAAAAAGCTACCATTCTCAACACTTGCCGCATCACCCGAAAATTCTTGACATCGTCTACTTTAACATCTACCTATTCTATTTAATCTTCCCCTTTTACACTTGGCTCCGGCCCGTGTATAAGGTTTCTTAAACTCTCGTATGAGAAGAAAACTATAATGTATTTAAAATAATAATAATAATAAAGCATTTATTTCGGACAGGATCCATACAAGAGTTCGATATCAACATCATTAATACGATACATCAAAATTTAAAATGCCTCACACAGTAAAATCAATTATTAACATTGAACTAATCTGTTAAAAATCCATTAAGTACTTCAAAATCCACTAATTAAATAAAATTTATATTAAATACAATAAAAATAAGTACAATTAAATTTCAATAAGTTAGTAAATAAAATTCTCAATTAAAATGTAAAAATAAATAAATAAAATTCCCAATTAAAATGTAAAAATAAAACTAATTTTAATTAAGTGTCATTAAATTACGCCAATACCCACCCGCACCCAGTGCTGTTGGAATGGACAATCCCATCGTGAGGCAATAAGTTTCAGGATGCTGTTGCCGCTGTCTCGTAGGCGCTGCAGTAGAGATGCTGCTTTTTTTCGCATTAATGCGGGAAACCCGTCAATGTTCGCTACAGCGAACATACCCGAGGCACTGCAGCGCCACGGCAACCCCAACAGCATCCTGAAGACATTGTTATATTGGACGCGCAGGGCTCCGTAGGCACGTTGGGTATACCTCACCCACAGGCCGCTGGTGTAAAATGACGTACAGTATGCTTTGAATAAAGCTATTTTGACTTCTGTCGTGCAGCCAGCGAACCTGCGAGCCAGCATATTGCCCCTTACCGCCAGAACCCTACGCTCTCTCTCAATGTCCTCGTCATCCTTTAGATTAGGTGTCACAATGTGCCCAAGATACTTAAAACTCTCAACCTGTTTGAGTGTAGTACCGTTCAAAAGCACCGGAGGAACATGGGTGGGGCAATGTTTACCCGCTCTAAATATCATTAATTCACTCTTATTAGAGTTATATTTTAACCCATGCTCCATCGCGTACTGTTCACAAATTGACAATAATGTCCTCAAACTCCCTACTGAGGGGCTCAGCAGCACCATGTCGTCCGCATAGCTAATATTATTAACACTGGTGCCGTCAATATGGCACCCCACATGAGTGCTGTTGAGCCGCTCAATCAGCTGGTTGATGTACACATTATACAGCAAAGGGGAGCTGAGTCCCCCCTGCCTCACACCACACTCGAGCCTATACTCATCAGATAGGCTACCGGCCCACTTCACCCGGTTTATCTGATTTGCATACCAATACTGCAGCAAAGAAATAGACTCTACCGGTACACCAGCACTCCCTAGCTTGTTTAAAGAAAGTTGGAAATAACTATCCATTTTGAGCAAACGTCGTGATTAATTCTCAAACCTTCTTCGTGTTAGAGCTTTTGCTCAGCGGAAAGCACATATAGGCCTGATAATACGGATCAAAAAATGAACACACATTTAAAGTATCATAACGTTGCTCTTTTATTTACCTAAATATTAAAATATTATTTATAAAACGAAATAATACAGAGTTGTAAATTAATTTATATGGATAACATATTTATAAAAGTCATTAACCCATTATTAAAATTAACATACCTATGTAAAATTACAACCCTGATTATATTCATCCCTCATTAGTTCCGCGGGTTTGTTTGTTTCTATATACTTAAAAGGATTAAATGTTATTCATTGTTAATGTATTTCTGTCTAAATATGATATCAATTATTTTATGGAACATACATCCTGTCTGAGTTTCACCTACAACTCTTTTACGCTAATGATATTAACATTTTAATCCCGTATAATCCAAGGAGTAAACGTATAAAATTAGGATTAAGCAACTTTGTTTACTGTGTTACTTGTAAACGATTATCATGAGAAAAAAACTTTCACCCATAAGATTGAGTGATTTAACACAAATTCTAATTTATGCAAATCTTTTGAAGATTATAATAATGAATCAATTTTCCCTATGTCCATAAGTAGGTAATTTCCTGTCCCATTGTAATTCTGTTGTGAAATGTTAAAAATATTCAAATTAAATATCATAATTTTCATCTTACATCCAAATTAATCTTTTTAAATCCCACATTTATTATCGAAATACCGATATTAGGTTACTTAATGAAAAAATTAAAATAAATGACAATCATCTATCGTCGACGACACAAGTTGTTAATTAAAACATAAAATGAAATTAATTATACTAATCTATTAGGTGGTCTTAATGTCTGAATTTTATTTCTCCAGTAATTATTAGTTCGAAAACTAAATAATTACATTTTGGAAAAGTAGACACTGGCCACCCGTGGTGTATAATTTTGGTGTTCATCTCAATAAAAATTGATTGCCGAGTCGCATCTCTAGTTTGTTATTAAACTATTAAAATACTGTTAATATTAATAAAGTGCCTTGCATTCTAATGGCGGTTGTGGTATCTATAAAATTCTAAATTTTATACGTCGTATAAGGTTATTTACGTTCGAAGAACTTGACTTGGGTTCGCTTACGAGCTTCGTTGGAAACTATTCGAATTCCGTGTTCAAACGTTGTAATAGTATTGTAAACATTTTTTTTTAATGGCGGAACCAAAGATTTAAATTTCGAACTTTCTGGCATTATGTCTCCTTATCTTTTATTATTACTCTGCTGTTTCTGTTTGCAGGTCACCGATTTATAAATGGGGATAAAGTTTAAACTGTGTAATTTTTAAGTTAATGATATTGTTGTTCGTTTTTTTTTATTTCCCTTAACAATGTAGGTACATAAGATTGCAACAAAAGAGTATTTAACACAAACCAGAAATCAAAATTCAATTGCTATTTAAAACGATGGCATAAATTAGCTATTTTTCCTAATTAGAACACGAATACGCTAGTCAACAGTAAAGCATTCACCTCTTTAATAAAACAGAGACTTGTCCAGCCGTCACCCTTTTTTATATTTAACACCGGGTCAACACATTGTTTGTTAATTAAAATAACAGTTTTTTTTCTTTGTAGGATAAAAACGTAAAATTTTTATACGTAATAAGCACGGAACGTGTATCGCATTAGAATTACATATTTTCCTAGAAGTACAAATAATTCTACATGAAAAAGTCACAATAATCTTTTATTCCTTTTACTGGAAAAATACTTATTTTGAGAAGCGAGAAAAATGATAATGAAATGCAGGCAGCTGATGTAAATCATGATAATTACGACAATAACACTAAAATAGAAGAAGATAATGTTATAAGTAAAAACATGGCACCAGAATACAATAAAAACAATCATTTTAAAAGTACAATCGTCCAACACGACAACAAAGAACACAATCAAGCGAGATCATTATACAATCGTGGAGCATAAAAAGTACTGAGGCGACGACACTCGCCCACGCCTCACTATAATGACGATATATAGCCCAATTTGCGACCAAACGATACATTCCAACAACAAAGAGTATTTCCTTCTAATAGAGGTAATTGGTGCGAAGTAGGAACAATTAGAGAACTTGGAAATAGCTGAAGCTACGTCCGTAGTTGAATTGTGATCATAGAAACGCTCGCTTGTAATTTCAAAGACTTTGGCCTATTTCGAAGTTCAAAGATCAATGTTTAGTTTGTAAATGGAATATTTATTGTTAAAGTTTGTAGTGCTGGTTCAGTGAGTAAGGACTACTAGTGAGATTTCTTGGGAGCAACTTTAATCAATTTTGAAAAGGTATGTTTTCTTGATAAGGTGAATAATAGAACTGTAAGCCTATGATGATGCTAGAACAATTTAAGAGTAATTTGAGTAATGAAGGTGTAATGTCAAAGTTTAAAAGGCTCATCCTTATTGGCCGTAATAGAGACGCCAATTCAAACGGTGCAAAAGTTTGCTTCGTGAGAAATCATTTAAGGGAACAAAGCATCCGGGCTACTTAAACAATTATTGGATAATAACAGGTAATTTTATTTCAAGCGAAACTGTTTATGTAATTCTCAAAATACTAAGCATCCTGGTTCACATGTTCCAAAGGATATGAGTACCAACACTGGCGCCATATTTGTCACCCATTACTTTCACATGCACCGTGCATGAGCATATTACAGGAGCTTTCATAGCAAGCCAGCGGCTAGTCACGTTGCTAAAATTAAATATGAATCATGGTCGCGAAACAGAATTTCGGACGTGCAAGTCAGAGGTGATGATTGCTATCAGTTAGATGGCGCCTGCATCGCGTAGGCGTCTCTAATGACTCTCCCATGCGCCTGCGCCTCGCTATAATTGCAGCTATCGGCCCATGCCCTTTGATCTTACTGAAGTAAAGATAGTTATTACATACACCAAGGGTGAAATGAGCGTTAAACAGCTTGTCTGATAAATTATACGTGAAATAATGAAACGTGCAACCATAACTTGTTGGGTGAGGTGTACCTATTAAATTGTCTAACGCTCTTTAGTCAGTAATGGCTGCGGCGCTTACTACTTCAAGTTATGGATTTGATAAGGAAACATAAATTCTGGCCAGGTTTAGTGCGGTATTAACTTCCTGGTTTATAATATCTGGATTACATTAACGCGTTACGACTATAAAACTTCAAAGACTCGATTTTGTTTCATTTTTTGTTATTTTGTGTTTTATGTTCTTATGGTGTCTTTAATGATAATGTACTCACCATAGACAGTCAAGAGGGCGGGTTCGGAGATCCTCTTGCCGGCAATGTTCTCTGCGACGCAGCTGTAGTTCGCCATGTCCTGTTAACAATAATAACCATTAATTGAAATATATTAGTTCAACTCAAGTTCAGTGTTAAGTAACAGCTGTGTATCTTCTTGTCATGAGAATATTGGGGCCATTATAACTTTGGATATCGATATCATAATTATGAGTCACTGACATACCAGCTAGAACATAAATACGATTAATCTCAACTAAATAAATCACTCTTAACATGAAATTATCTACACGAAGTCGACGGTATATTATAAGATGCTTGCTAGGCCTATCACAGGAAAGGGCACAGCCATATTGTAATTATACGAGCACATATATTTTGCTAATCTCCAAGAAATTGCTAAAGCGACCTGTACTAAATCTCAGACGTCATAATGTCCACGAATATACAGAAATCTGCGTCGCACGTTGGTTATAAAGGTTTATTATGAGGTCGATAAAGTTAACGGACACCTATTTATCCAACTATCACAGTCAAGCTCAGCAAAAGACGGAATAAAGGTGTACATTCTACCTAATGGCATAGCTACTTTAACTGAAATTGCTGGGTCCGTGAAGAAAGACGCTGACTTAAAGAGAAATTTCGTCGCAAGCTTCCTTCAAAAACGTTTCCAAACGCTGTTTGAAAGTTATACTGAGTATATAAAACTGAACTTTGTATCTAACCACCTAATTATAGCATAGAACACAGTTTTAATTACAATCCTTAAGTATTTGTTAGACGACAAAAACAAATTAGCACCCGCATTGCTTGAAAGGGCAAATATAAATTCAAAGTGTTCATTACAGCGCCCGTCTCCGTAATATATTTTTACAACCGAAAAGCTGAATGTGTTAAAATTACAAAGGACGGGAGTCATTAATTTAAAAGACGTACAACACATTACGATCATATTCATTAAGAAAGCGCTCTAGACACCTTTCTGAAGATTATGTTACACACGAACCCACAATGAGAGAACGACTGACAGTGGCAGCAATTAATCCATGTCTGCTCACAGTGCCTAATTAGTGGGAGCTGCGTAGCGGAAACCGGAGATGGAATGAGTTATTTGCGATTGTGCCATTATTTGGTGATGTGGTTGGAAAACAATATTGTATCACGTCTTTTGAATTTATCTTTAAGGGGAATTTGTTTTGCTCTTGCATGTATAATGTAAACAAAACAATAAGTGTGTTGCTCGTGTACAAGTATCTTATAATCCTATATATTATCATAATATTATATTTGTTTGTATATATATATTTTGTTTATATAATGATTTTGCGAACTAGATTGAGTCAAATTTTGGTGGTAGCTATAGAATAAAGATGGAAATTACTGAGATTAACCACTTTAAGTTGTGAATAGATGAATTTACTTTGAATTAAAATTAATCGAGATGCATAACCACAACACTAAAGCCTAAATGATTACGACACCTGACACAACATTAACATAATTATACCGATATTAATGTACACAGAATAATGCTACTGGCAACATCGTATTTCTTAAAGCTTACGAATTAATTTTATAATCAACACATCAATTTTAACCGAATCGGGTATATAAAATCAAAGAAGAAAAATACTCGGGTCAAGCGAAATTAATTGCTAAAGATAAACGAATCTTTTTCCATGAAATATATAATTGTATTAACACAGGTTTAACACTTTTATCGGAGAATCCAGCTTTGAAAGACACTGGACGACAAAAAGTCGAAAAAAGAAAAGGAACGCACCCGACAGGGACTTGTGTCGCAATTAATAAACGTCTGTCGCGCTCGACTAATTAGTTGCAGTCGTAGAGATAAAATAAATAATTTGCAATCGTGCGACAAGATGATGCGATTGTGCGCGCTGACGCTTTGAAGGAGCATTTTAATGAGGTGCGTGGCTTAAAGTTAGCAACCGAATCCGATGTTGTTGTGTGCATAGCTGTAGAATATTGCCTGCCATCCACTTCGAACACTGCATAGACTCAGCTATCTCTAAATAAGATGTAACGTTTAATAGAGGAACTGGTTGGTAATCGGACGGTAAGTAAGTAAGTGGAAAATACAAAGACTGCTAAAACAACCCTAATTGTTTCATTAAATTTGGTTGAATAATTTTTGCAAATTATTCTCACATTGTTGTTTGTTTTATTTAATGGTTTTAAGTGGTGATTCGTCTTGATAATAACTAGTGCCTCGTGACTACTTTAATGCCTTCCAAACATAAAATTACATTAATTATTTTCTATGATCTCCATCTTTGGAATTCGCCACGTGTTGTCAAATACCGCTTTAGCCAATTAAATTTCATCTTTAACTATTCAGACATAAGTAATATATTCTAATGAGAAAAATCATTTACTTTTTATTACTGTACAAATAGATGGCCTAATATTGACATGTGTTCGTAATACGACTGTTCTAAGATCATGTTCATGCTCATTGTTTGGATTTGTGGTTGTTTTTTATTAAGCTTTTAGTATTATGGCACTAATTTATGGATCATAAACGATGTACATCTGGGGCGTTGGTCCTTGGGTGGTTTCAGTAGCATGTTTTTAATAAGTATCATTATGACCTTTTCGGTGTCTGGCGTTGAGGAAGGAGAGTAGTTCCCAAAATGAATCTTGTTCATCAAAAATTACTTTGACAAGATATTTTGAATTCGTGCCAAAATATTTTTGGACTGTCAGTCAGACATAAAAACTGGACATAAAAAATGGAACAATAGAATGACTAAGTCGGGAGGACGTATTAAAGTCAAGAGATTGTTTTCGTCGATTTTTGTTAGCTCGTCAAGTCAACTTTTAAACTGATCTTTGTTTCGAAGACATCTCGAGGCCGCATTTTATGCATGCTTCTCAATTTGAAATTCTTTGAAATAATACGCAATATTTTGGTATCTGTTTCTGTTTCGACCTTCGATGCTTGTTTACATAATTTCTTATACCCAAGCTATGTTTCAATGTTGTTTATTTTATTGTGTCTAAAGTCAATTTCGATTTCAACTTTATTGACAATATATTTGTTTTATGTTCTTAGTTTGACCTGAGTTGTGGCTTACTGCAGCATTGATTAAGCATCTGGGTCATTCTCAGAATCTTAAATAGGCTTTGGTTCTAACACAAATTTGTAATTTAAATGAGTCTTATTTGACATGATTTCTTTCTTCGACGTGCTATTATTGATTTTATCTCTTTCCCATAATTTTATTGTATGATTGTGTAAATAGTTGTAAGTAGATGTATGAGTATACATATAAAGTACAATATTACTAACTGCTGCTTTTTGAACCAAACCACTAGGTTTTGTTTCCAGATTAAACTGAATGACACGATTTTAGAAAGTATAAATTCTTAATAGACACTACATTAAATACATAATTTAAATTCGTAATTGAAATAACTAACAAAACTACAATTTCACGTTATCTCACTTACTTGTAAAGTAGCTCTTGATATGAGAAGATTTCCCTCAGCAGAAATGAGGACATTATGATCTTGCTGCAATGGCTGTCCATGTTTCAGCCAGGAGACTCTGGGAGCTGGTGCTGCAGCAGGAGGGGAGCAACGTAAGGAAGCAGCAGAACCAGCCTCGACTGAGGTTGGAGATGGTGATACGGCAAAGGGCTTCTTGAGATCTGTGAATAAATTTGAATTTTAGAATGTATCGGATCTTAAAAAGCTGAAGGAATTTCTTAAAAAAAAACTGAACTTACTCTTAAACATCCAGATGTAGAACTTTAAAATAAGAAATCTGATATTGCCAATATAAAAATAGGAATATAGAGTATATTATTAAATTAGTATATTACATTTATATATAGAGTCAAAAATTGATTATCTAATAGGTTATTTGATACTATTTGTAGATTAGTTCTATTACGTTTATGTTTAAAAACAAAACATTAAAATAACCCTATAAGTTTACTATGTGGATTTGTATGGTTGATAACTGTCCACAAAAAATGTTTTAATCTGTTTTACTCAAAGTCCTCAATAAATGAATGCCGTTTCAAATTGAAAGAAAGAAAACAAAATCGGAATTTAATAACATTTAAATAAGGGGAGGCATATCAATCAATAACATTTTTCTCATCCCGCATATTCTAAATTAATTAGATCAACTCGATTGTAATTGACATATCATTGTTATGTTACAATGAATCTAATAACATAACAATCGGATGTCAATAACAATTAGTATGACGTCGACGTCTGTTGCCAAAAGCTTTTGATGTTATTTAATCATTGCTTGACGTTCGTTGCACAATACTGTATCGTGGAATATGAGATTAGAGGGGTTTTGGAATTTGATATATTATTATTATATTTTATTTATTTATTTATGTTTGGAATAAAATTTAATGGTTTAATTATGAATTTTCTAAATAACTTAACCTATTAGATATTTTAATATATTCAAACAAAATCCTGGCGACCAATTAAACATTTTTTTTTTTATTATACACAAAATATTACCTTATAAAGTTCTATAAACAAGGTACTTTCTAGGTATTTAATGGCGGAACAAACACAATGAACAAAACCTTAATTAGCGAAAAATCCCAACAGTTCACACTATACAGTATAAATCATTCTCACGCCAATCTCGGCGCGACATAAAAACGCAGGGCGACACGATTGCGTTGCGTACCATGCGACATGCGACAGTTGCATTGCACCCATGTCGATAATTGTCGTTCATTTAACAATTTTACGGTGTTTTAGTACTTCACCGCCGTGTAATTGTCAACTATCTTAATTTGTCTGCTGTGCCCAATTATTTGGTTAGATGTGTAACGCGTTTTTCATTTGGGTAACGTTTGAGGTTGGTACCTACATTATCACTTGCTTTATTGAGTAGACTTTGTTAAAAATGTTTCTGGGAGTAGCCTCTGTGAAGAACTTCAAAAGGCATCTAGCTTTTTAGGAACCTGACTAGGGAGTGTGGGATTTTTACCTAAATCTCTCCGTTGGCCACCATCAGCCCCGGCAAGAGACACACTACTGTCTTGGTAGACCAACTCCAGAGACCCTCCGATGCAACACCTATTACGTACACATCACATATCCCTACTCTAGAGACCTACGTGCCTTCTTTAAGCCACTGGGTGGGCGCCTAGATGCCCGCACTATGCGCCCATGACCCCAAAAGCGAATATTGTCCTATATAAGCCTATGGAATATTTTATCCAGAGCTGTTTAGTAGTTTCTGCGTTTGTAGGTTACAAACATATTATATATACATCGATTGATTAATTATCGCGTTCTTTGAGTAGCTTTTGTTGTTTCATTATCTTGTGGTTGTGTTTCAGATTGTAAGATTGTAAGAGAGTATGAGTGTAAAATTGTATTACTGTTCACATTTTGTGTTTTTTGTATGTGTTTATTAATAAATTGTTTTTATAATTAAAGTGTTTTAATACTGCTATTATTATTTTAAAATAACCCGACAACAAGAAATAGCCACTACAAAAACTAATACGTTGTACAGTCGGCACAAAATGTTCAGCCCTCAACTCCAAAGTGGTTTAACGTAGTGTGTCCATAAATCTGCTGGGTGTACGCTCCATTACTTGCTCTCGCTAAGATATCGCCGCACACTACGAAGAGGTGAAAACTCGAGAATTTTCTGCGACTGCAACTTATAAACATGTTGGAACGATGTTATTTGTCACTGTATTTCAACATGGTTCGTTTCTTTGCGCTCCTCTCACGGAGAAAAATGAAAAATAGGTGATATTATCGTTTCCCGGCGATGCTTCGAGACGAGTTTTTATCCTTGAGCATTTCCTTGGGTAATAAGATATCCTTGTTGGTAGGAGACAGTAATTGCATCAACTCGTTCCCGTCGCATGTAATCCCTGCATGGCGCTGACTACTGGTATTAATTGAAAATTCTCAGGTAAACCCAGGAATTGGAACGTTGCCTCGACACAACTATAACTTTCCAATACTGTTATTGGAAAATGTATCGTATTTTATATTTCGTAGTACGTGTTTGACGACTAAATCCCTTGTGGTTTGTGGAAGAAATATAACAAACACAAATTTAACTTTGTCTGGTTAAGTGTAATTCGCGATGTAGTTTTAATAGTTATGGATGGATTTCATCGCTAAAATAATGCATTAAAAATCAAGTATTTACGATCAAAAGTTTTCACATAGATCATGCCCTAGTCCGAACTGACTCAGCAGACACTACTAGAAAGCTTGTACATAAACATTTTTTTTTAAAGTTACATTAAGACATAATTGTTTTTGGTCCTGGTCTCTCCCCCCCCCAAATTCCTCAATCCTCAAATCCCTTATAACCCAATGAAAATCTAAATTTCCATAATTATAATCATATTGGCTTCCACACCGCAGCTTTGCCTACATGGTATGTCGATAAAATAAAACGGTCCAGTCATTTTTGAGTGAAAGAATACCACACATTCCTCCATATATTCTCATAAACTTTCAAATTTATAATATTAAGTAAGATAGGAGAGTAGGACTCAATAAAACAAACTAATTAACATATGCGAATACAACAAGAACAACAGCAAAGCTAGAATATAATTCTGTAGCTTCATTATGATAAGTACCTACAAGTAAAATTAGTTTATAACAGAATTCCACACATTAAACAGGAGTAAAGTACGTAGTAGTAATTTTGTTTCTACACTCCAGAGTTGGAACGTGACTTGCATTATGAAACGGAATGGGCTTCAATAACTGGTAGGAAGGTCGAAAGGTCTCGATGGTGCAAACTTGTGAATCTTAGTAATGATTGTGATGAATGATATGTCTGTTGGCGCCAGTAGACTACGTGGTTAAGCGTTAGAGCTAGATTTAGTTTCATGTTAGTTCATCGTCAGCCTATAATTGTCCACTGCTGAGCAAAGGCTTCTTCTCACACGGAGGATTGAGTGTTAATCAACACGCTTGCTCAAAGCGAATTAGCGATTTGAGTTTCCTCACCATATTTTCCTTAACCGTTTTTGAATACACTTAGTAAGTACATAGAATTTAGAAAACGTCACATCGCCAGGTTTTGTACCCACACTCTCATGTAAGAAGCGAGAGCCTTAACCTTCGGGTCACCCTGATAACATGTTTATTTTTGGATAGTGATTTATTTTTCTGAAGGTGAGCATGATTACGGAGAGAAGATAATTAGGTCTGAAGTTGTAACTTTTTTTTACATCAGTTTAATTCTTAAACGCGTAAAAGACATGGTATCTTGTCTAGCCTGGGTAGGAAACTGCTGAATACATTCTGCTTCCAACACTTCAACGCGAAAGTCCCCAGAGCTCTATGTTTTGCATTGGATATTTTGTTGCTAGTAGATTATGATTATGACGATTATAAATCGAGCGTACTGTAAGAAAATACAAGTTAAAATGAAAATATAAATGTTTAAAGCAAATAAAAAAAAAGACTATCGACTGTTTCCTGTTGCATGTTATTCATGTTACTGATACCATATCAAATAAAATTGGTAAAATAAAGAACGATATCCAATGAAACGTGATCTCACGTTGCATAATATTGAAGTGACAAATATAATTTGATTCTTAATATTAATAAGATTAAGCCTACTATCACGAAATCATTCTCACTTCAAGATTAGGCAACAAGAGATCACATTACTCATTATACAAGAAATCGATACTCATTCAATTTGGAAGCACGATAGAAAAATCTCACTTCAATACCAAAAAGCCTTCTATGTAACTTTAAACTGTGCGTCTGATGGTTGTAAGTGATAAGTGTTAGGTGAATCCGGGGAGTTCGTGTGGACTCATAAATTACAGAGCGCGTTTCATTTCCTCTACGAAATTCGTACCTACGCGGACGAGGAGATAAAGATACTAGATGCGTTTCGTGTTGGTGATTGAATTTTTTTTAAACTGCTTTTGTTTTTTTCCATTTTTGGATCGGGCATGTACGTGCTTAAACAAAGCCATTGCAGTATATGGTATCGTGTTATTGAACCTTAAATCCCGATCCCTAAACATAGATTATTTACTCTGTTTATTTGGAATTTTTCAATTGATATCAAAGCTCTATCAATGCCCAATATAAAAATAATAATTAACCTAAAGTAGTGTCTCTTTAAATAACCAAAGAATCACTAATTGGAATCGAAACTTTTCAAGAGAAATTTTCTCAAGGTGTTTCTATAAGAAAAGCATCGGTGAAAGTCATACTATCAAGTTCGATATAGCAATTTTGCATAAACACAGTCGAGACATTTAATAACTAGCAAACACCGTGATTATTCATAGCACTCATTTCCCTTTGTAAATAAGTTCTCACAACTTCTAACTTGATAAAATACGACACGATTGCGCGATTGAATTTGATCACAAATCTGTTATTCAAGTCTTTAAAATCTAAAGGTGAAACATTACCAAACAATCAACGCAAAGATGCGAATAGTCAAAATACAATCGTAAGTACGTCACTCTATATCATTGAAGCTAAGTTTTTTTTTCCAAATCACAGATAGGTATGGATATGAACTAATTGGATTATAACGTTGCTGGGCGCCGAATGTTTCCCTTTATTCACATACCCAATCCCCAAATTCCTAACCACACCAAAAAGGCCAGCCACACACTCGTTACTCCTCTGGTGAAGCGGATGCAAGTGAGCTAGGTAATTGATTTCCTCCTCCAATCAAACTACAAAAAAAACCCATTGGACGCTTCTTCAATCGGACCTCAATAATATTTTACATCTTTGTTGCCAAAAATGCAGCTCCGCATATGGAATACGGATTTTCTGTCTGTTAACATTGAATTATTTCAGCCACGCTGCTTTCATACAGTTATCGTTATATTTTAAGCGTGTAAGGCATAGTTGTATACCGTTGGTACATTCCAATTTCGTTCATAATGAAAATAGCACAATTAAGGCTATAAAATTTAACACAAATAATTTTGGGTTTCGAGAAAATCTAACGTTTTTTCTTATGCAATAAGTACCATATTGCAATTAAAAAAAAGACGTTGCCCTACATTAGTATTTTCTCCTGTGTCGTGGGTGCTGTTACAACCATACAATTTCACATACACAAGACACCCAGACCCGGAACAACAATTTGTGGATCACACAAAGAGTTGTTCCGTGCGGGAATCGAACCCGCGACACGTTGCACAGCAGCCAGTTGCCCAGCCACCGCACCAACCGTGTCAATCAACAAATCAATTTCAAAATCCATTTTTGTGTTACCTACTCTTACGTAAAATGCAGACGTTGACTGCTAAAACATTAATACACAACTCTGACATGGAATACAACCGAACAGTTCAAAAATAGTTACGATACGCCTGCACACTAGACTCTGACGTCGATTCCGATACTCAATAATAGATCAACACTATAACTGAAAGCTAACTTTACTACACAATCAATGAAAAAGTTAAATATAGACACGCGACGCGTTTACCCATCCATTAAAAGGCCCCACCATAGTAGTAAACTTGAAAACATCACATTCCTACTTGGCTACAGTAAATCGTTGGAGGCGACTTACCAGTGACACTTTTATGCGTACTTACTATGCATCCATTATTGTTAATAGCTTCATAGATGCTGTTTAAGTAGGGATGTGTACCTATTATGTGTATTTTGAGAATGAATCAAGTTGACGCGTAATGTCTTCACGAACGCATCTTACGAAATTAGTGCCTCCACTTTAAGTGCTTCCATCAATCAGGTGATTTCAAGCGTTGGATATCAAAACATTAATGTTTGTGTTGCTCAAATATATCACACGTGAGATTACTAACTTAACATTATATCTATTGAAGTAAGAGATAAAAGTATTTTAACAATTAATTATGTTATTGTTTCTGTTTCATGGCACAAGGTGCAAATGTCAACATCAATATCATCATCGTCATTGTCATCTCTCAAAAAATGACAGTGATATTATTAATAGGTATTTTATCAGAAATGGAACAATTGCTGGTTCAGTGGATCCCACTTCTGACCTAGCTATTAATGCCACCAATCGAAAATAAAATAGTTCTTACTACAGCTGGACGTATTTACAAAGGTGTTAATAATATCGTTATTACTATTTACATCTCCCATATCCTTTAGTGTCAGTCACTTGAATCCAACAACAGAGGGAAGACAAATAATCCGAAACACATTTCTCTGTCACCCTCGATTCAGTTAAGAAATAAAATAAAGACTTAACCTAACAAGTCGGAATAAAACACACGTTCCCAGTCATCCGGTAATTCGCAGAGAAAACTCATAAACATCTAAATACAGAAATTGAGAGAGACATTACGAAGTCTTAATTGTGCGAAGAGACAGCGCGCGGTAAACTTGCACTAAATTTACATCCTGACGGCTTTAATTGTTCCCTCGCTTGTGCAACAGAATGGTAACGTGTCTAGGGAGCTTATATTTTGGATTTTGGATATGCTTTTGTATTTTATGCTATTGGCCATTTTTTAACAGAATAGTATACCTACATATATTATTATTCTTAAAGATAAGGTGCACTGGTTTTATGCCCCATATGTTGTAGGAAATGGCGCGTCATTTCACGTAACTAATTCTAAGATCAGTGTTATTACTGAATTTTTTGAGTTGCGTTTTCCCTAAGAATTCCTTGGTGTAAGTTTGTGTCTATGACAATATATAAAAGGTATCTGTGTAGTATCTAGATTCAAAATTAATCGAAAACGTTAAGTATCATGTTTCCAATTAAAACCTTCACACGAACCTAGCTTATCTCTTCTCACCGTCAAAATACACTTGCATTTCACTATTAACACTTTCACCAAATTAAAATTCTCGTTCGCTATGCTTTTCCTTCAAGCTTGGATCATGCGAACGCTTGCTATAATAAATTACTAATATCTTAAATCACAATTTATTACTTAGCAGGGTCTAGCTTCAACTTTAAACCGTTGTTCCACTTCGACACAATCTACAGTTTGCAATACAATGAACTTTATGTTCTGTGCCACGACTCAGGAGTGCTATTGCAGGAATCATTGAATGTCATGAATTACATTCTGATCTAATCTCGCCTTTGTTTCGTTAAATATATGATTTCTGGTCACGGTGTTAAGGTAGGGGAGGTGGAAATGGATTAGTGTAATCAGTTATGGTATGCTGTTATCCTTGTGTCGATAATGGTCGTAAAAACTTTTAATGTTTGGCCTGTCGTATATCGGTTTTATGAATGACGAAGAATATGTGATAATTTCATAAACTCCAATAAGAAAGTTTCCAATAAATATTGAAACAGTAGTCGGTATGGTATATTTTAATTTTATAGCTCATCCCATTATGAAATAAATAACAAGAGAAAATCCCATAATTATAACAAAACATGATTTACGTGCATATGTTCTAGTATCAAAATAACAGTACTCGTACTTGACTGCCTCAAGTATTACCCAACACCCATAAATCCAGGCAACGGTCATTCCGACATTTATTTAATATGCATAGAAGATTTACCACGAATGGGTATTGAATTTAATCGAGCAACTGTCCGTAATACAGTTTATGAACAATATTAATGGTGCTATACATCACGGGAGTTTGATGGTGGCGGTACTTTGTCTTGTCACAACATGTTCTTTTTGGTGAGTTTATTTTGGTCCTGGACAACGCGTTTATATTGTATTCTTACTTAAATAAACTTTTGTTGAAGTTACATTAGATATGAATAAGAATTTCCAAGCTGTGGAGACTAGAGAGTCATTTAAATACGATAATGGATCGCACATCAACGTCCATCGCTACGTTGAAGCTCGTAAGATCCATCATAGTAGTTGGTCAATTCATCAATGCACGTCGAATTGTAGCGAAGGTTCAACCGTTATTTACCTATTGTTTGTATTTGAATGAAGCCTTAAGATGTCTTAGAAGAAGTTTATGTTGAGTAAAATACTTAAGATTTATTGTAAACCCACAAATGAAGACGTTTCAAAACGTTCGAAAAGTCATAATAAATCGAGACATAAGAAAAGAACGGTGATCCACAGCTATTAACGTTGTGTCTCGGACCGGAGATGGGCGTGCAACAATCCCAACTGGGTTAGTCTAAAATCGTCTACGGAAACTCGCCACGAATTATGAGGTTTGATGAAATGTTCCGCGGCCGTGCGCACGTTTGACAGGAAACAATATATTTTTATAACTATCTGAATACCGTGGAAATTGGAAGTATTTGGGTTATTAATAGTACTGTCGATACATGACTGGTTTATAGAAAATAAAAATAAAGTTTAACATTTTAATCTAAAATATTGAGCAAAATTAGTAGAGTTAATCTGATTGAACGAGGAAAAAAGTGGTTTTTTGAAATATGACAGAAATAAACAATTTTTTCAACTCCTACGTAACTCAGATAAATAATTAATAAGTGTATTATTATCTCATAAAGCCGACTAATTAGGATCATATGATTTATCTCATCGTTTTGTGTAAGAAAGCGTAAATATTTAATAACTTTATAAGGAAAATGTTAACAGTTAACCCCATCGATAAAAATCTACATTACAAGCTTTTACTATACAAAGAAACGTTTATAATATCAATAGACAAAACACAACGTGACAATAAGGAAAATACTTTCAGATGAGAATCAGGTTGTAGACACAACAGTATAGTTATTTGAGTACTTACATGCCAACTCGACGACTGCGGGCTGACTTCTAATATCACCTTTGCTGCTCCAAGCATTACACGTGCAAGTGAATCTGTCTTCACCAAAATATTCGTCCAATTGATCTCTCGTCACATTGCACTCAGCCTCCACAATTCGCACACCACTTTGTGGATCCACAAATTCAAACTGCGTACTAGGCACCGATCTCACATCATTGCATTGAAAATACACTTGTAGAGCATTTGCTGCCCGACACCTTAACACTGCAGGTTTGTTTCTCACCACATAAGCGTGCTGTGGTTCTAGGAGAAACATTGGCAAGTCATCAGTCGAACTTTGTAAGAGATGATCTCCTGATAACGAAGGTAGTTCGTCAGCATCATCTCTATTTTCATGTTCATCTTCTTTATGTGATTCGTGATCATAGTCTTCTTCTAGATAATCTCTATGATGTGGTGCTGCGTGATTCTTTTCTGAATTGTAAGGGTCTAAGTTTTCAACGCCGGCAGGATGGGCGTATTCTGGTCTTAAGGGTATCGGTGGTGTAGGAGCCGCTGTGGTGCTTTCTGGTGTAGTTGTGTTTGACACCTCTGCAACAAAAATGCAGTGTTAATAGTTAAATTTTAACATGAAATTCGAAACGTTGTCTCGTTAAGAATCTAAGCAACGTGTCGACTATTTATCTAAAATAATTTCTATTTCGGTTTGGCATCTTAATGTAAATCAATCATAATCGAGTAATCTATGAGCCAATATATATTTGTAGTTCGATGCAATATCAAGTTAACTGCTGCCAAAAGTTTGACATCAAAAACATGAGAACAAATTAAAATCAGCACACGATCTCCGCATGTATTACTAAAACGTCGCAAACAATTTAAAGACCAATTAAAACTTCACAAAATACCAACGCTAATAAGACTAATAGCTTTCGCTTAAGAACGAACGAACTTCTAATTGCAGAGTTAAAATATATTCCGTGTCGTTCGGGATAAATAGCATCTGTCATAATAACATGTAACCTCCAAGTCATGCCATCGATTTCACTCCAAGTCCGCACCTGGTTTGAAGCGTCACTCGCGCCTATTTACACGCGAAACATAGATATTTGGATAACATTCTCCCCTTTTAATAAATTCAGCATCCTTCAACCGAAAACCAACTTTAAATCCGTCCCGTTAATTTCAAAATTCAAGAACAACAACATGAATTCTTCCCTCTCCAGAATTTGGCCCAAAATCGCTATCAGCACATCGGTATATGTTACTCCTACTCTGTTGACAGTATTACTATTATTTGAACTAGGGAATTGTACGAAAATAAACCGCAACTCGAGCGAACCGTGGATAACTTAATTAGTTTCACTTCCGTTCAGCTTATTTCTATTTCCGTTTTCGTGGGGGCCGAACGATATTTCCTTCTGGAATCTATTTTTCCTTAATAGGATTTGTTTCGTGAGGCATTTTCCGCTTTCTGGTTTGAAATTGTGTTAAAATGATTAAAATATCAATTCCGTTTCAAACTGCTCAAGTGTTACATCTTTATCTGAAAATCTCGTAACTTTTGCTGCTCATTTTGTTAGAAGATATTTTGCATGATTCAATCGTAAGTACCAGTAGTAATAACAGTGGTGAGACAAAACAAATACATTAAACCAGCTAGTAAAATAATCCAAAATTCAATCTTACGCTTGTCAGACACAAAAACCAAATGCTTAACATATTCTAATTATAATACACATCCAAACGGGACATTGATTACCATTTCTCTAAAAAAACACTCTCCATGTCACGGTGACGAAGGTGAAGTCAATTACATTATTCTATTTGCTTCGAGCATTTCTGACCATCCGATTGAGCAAGTCGCCTGTCAATTTTAATTGGTTTTTAGCACTTAGAATTTGATTAACGGCTTTATTAGTATCAAATGTTTCGTAATCTTCACCAAGATTCATTTCTTTATCTGAATTTTAATTAACGTCCGATTCGAATGCAGTTCCTATCGTATTTCTATTGATATGCGAGTTTCCTATTGACTGGTTTAAATCAATGCTTTTGTTATGTAGGTCGTCTTCAGGGTTGGTTGTTGGAATATTTTCCTGTTATTATTTATTTACTAAATAAATGTATAGGTAGCTATTTCAGATACCATATACTAATCGTAAAAACTGCTGTTTATATTCCGCCCATCACTTAAAATTGAAAATAAAATTATGATTAGATCATACAAATTTATTTAGGTTTGCAAAACAAACTTTGCAACTAATTTAACTTGAATGAGAAACAGTTCTGTTATACAAGTAATACTTATCACGAGCAATATCAACACAGCAGAGGTTAATTGGTAATTTTAGATTGCAAGCAGTCAGCCCTACCCATCACAACAGTAACTGAGAGAAGCATTCACGATTCTTGTACAAGTGTTATCTATAGTGACGAAACTTCGTTTAAACGTTACAAGGAGCGTAACTAACCGGATCGTCGTCACGAACTTCGTAAATTATAAATAAATGTCCATCGTGTGTACTCCGATCAATGTGTTCAGCTTTGATGTTATTTGTATTGTTGAGAACATGTGTTTGTAGCCTGGCATGATCATTACTATCGCTTTTTACGTTAATTGAAATAACTGGTTTTAGCACACTTCTATTCTTAGCAGTTACTGAAGACACGCTATTGTCAACGTTGTAAAGATTGTACTTGTCAAGCTCAATTAGAAGGTATTTTATCGGCCATTTTTGTAAAAGTCTCAAAGGTACAAACAAAAGTACTCTGTTATCTGCAGACTATTGAAAAGCAGGAATATAGTTTTGTTCAGTCTTAATGAAACTTATCCCAGGAAAACTACACTTTATCCTTGAACAATAAAACTAAAAACAATATAAAGACACCTTGACAGCAACTACAGCGGTCCTCTTATATAATTGGACAAAGAAATGTGCCCAGAGCACGGTATTGTCTACAGAAGCTACTCATTATTTTAAACTTCTTGTTCTTGTCTTATAAAATATATATTATCTAAAATATTTTCTCCATTTCCAATTGTGTCACAATAAACAAATCACTTAAGAGACGCCTTACATAACTAATGGTATGTTTTCTTTGTTTTAAAATACCCCAAACGTTTGGAATCACAGAATTTTAAATGGGTCGAAATGTCGTGTGTTTAGTGACGTGGAACGCGTAGGTACGAGATTGACGAATGTTCGTATTCAGGGAGTTTATAAACGAAACGAAATATTGGGGTTGGTCTTCCTGTATATATGGTTGTTATCCTGGTTTATTAACTGCAGTGTCTTCTGGTATACATATTTAGTTCTCCACTATCGTTGATTAGAGAATAACTATTATTTATTTCAGGCTTCATCTAGATTACTAACAATTTAGGTTGTTTTAATCTTAAGTTTTTATAACTAAAACCGAATTCTCAACTGCTTCCTCAATAGTATCAAGTGTTAACGTTAACCAACCGAAAATCGAATCTGACCCGAATTAATGGTTCACACTTTACAGGTATTAAGTTTCAGTCCAAGCCAGTAAAAGCTAGTAGAAAATAATTAATGATGGCATCGATTTTATTCACGATAGGAGTTTTATTGATGGCCCGTTCTTAATCAACGTCGAAGAAGAATTCTTGGCTCGTTCTACAGATGCGCTAACAATTGGTTTTATTGATGACGGCAGACAATTACTGCGACTTGATGCCTTTTAAAATTGAACAAATGACAGCTCAGGATGTTTTCACTCATCGATGCTTGTGCATGCACAACTTTCAGCACAGGTAATCAAATATAAAGTAGAACCGAGAACCTACGTAGAATGAAAAAGTATTTAATAAATGTTATCAGGAAAAATAAATTTAATGACTGTTTCTCAATCAATACTTCCCAAATAGTAACTAAAGCCATTCATATCGGACGTCATAAAACTAATACCGTTCAAAACATTTCTGTTATCTTAATACCAAATCTAAAGCACTCAATTTATTTATAAACCAACTAAATATTCCCATTACATTTATTAAGGGATTCTATCACTGATACTTAACAGATGTAGCTGTTACATTAAGTGGGTATACGGTGCTCTTATAAAAGTTGGCCGTAATAGCTGCAGTATCAGCTTGTGCCCTATTCAGTTGAGCGATAACAGAACCTTTATGCGCCGGAGAGTACATAGAGGAATGCAGTCGTATTTACATACTGTGTTGCTACGAGATCGGGAGCTGGAAGTTGAGCCTTTAGAGAATAGGATACAAGTATAAAGGCATTTGTGAAAGCAAGAGACTACAAATAATGTCTTCAGAACATTCTAGGTGAAGCACCAAAGTTTGTTACTAGTGTACAACAGCTGCATCCTATAACACACAGTTAAGAGCTTAAACATTTTGCTGCACGTGCCTATATATTTGAAGCACTTAACGCTGACACCACTTGAAGACTGTCTCTTTAAAGCAAAAGATATGTAAAGATAGCAAAACAATCTTGAAGATAACACAAATGTTCATTTTGCGAGCATTAACACAATACAATAAGCGGATGCATTACCAAACATCTGTAGCACACACTCGTCACTGGATGGGACGATGCTTGATGCAGTTTACTAGCAAATGCACTTAGCGCCGGAGAAACGTAAAAAGACATACTCGATCTATTTAATGGCATTGTAGGCGGGGATACGCGAAGTTCGAAATAAACGAGCTATGATCAGCACTGTGATCTGAAGTCGTTTGATGACGAGTTCATCACAACAGAACGAGAAAGTATTTTAAAGGCGCAATATTTCAGCACAAAATTCTTGCGTTACATGGGTTTAACACTGTTTTGTAGTCGATAATGTTACAACGGCATGCTCAGATTGAGATAAGATATTGCAGACCATGGTATTTTAATTAAGTGAGTCACGATCTTGCATCGATTCGATTTCGCAAACAATGTGGGTTTTGTCAAATTGTTTCCTATCCAATATCTCGGAGTTTCAAGTTGTAATAATATTACATTTCCACATATCCAAAATTTATAAAGAAGTACTGGACAGTAGGCAAAATATCTTCAATACATTTCAAATTACCAAAACAACTGAACCGTTAACATACAATAAGTAACAAGGTGCAAAAAATGCTCCAAAATTTCTTTGAATGTCGCCGAATTCTCACCCCGACTTGGACCACACCCACAAAAACTTCAATGGTAACACGATACATAGAGTGCCAGTCAAGAGTTTCCTAAACAAGATAATCCCTTTGTTAGTCGGGTTATAATGCTCCATGGCTTCTCCTGAGAGTCTTTCGCTATTATTTAGTGTTTCATTCACGCCAGCAGCTGCCGTCGAGTGGTCGTTTCCGATTTCAACTTTAATGGATGTATGGATTTTTTTCGCGGTAACGGGGAAATATTCGAGAGTTGGTTGATTTGAATCTTCAACTTTGTTGTCGCAAGGTAGTGCTATATTCACCGCGTTAATGTTATTTCGGTGTCCTGTTTCTTGCTGTTTTTTTTTGTTCTGCCTTTGAGTTACGCGTGTTGTCCTTTTTATACGTTTTTATCTCTATTATGTTGTCTTGGGATGTTTTTCAGATTTGCTTTCTGCTTAAAATGCTTACGATTCTCTTGATGAATTGTTGTTAAGTAAGCTTATTGCTTGTGTTTCTTTATTTTCGTTTTCTAAAACCGACATAACGACGTAACATAATCTGCCCCGTTGTACGTTTACTATTTAAAAATCGTGACTACCATGCACTTCAAACTATCTCTCATGAGTATTGGTTCTCTTTCATTAACGAATTTTCACACGTGAGTACATTCGTGACCTAGTTTTTCATAGTGAGCTTTTGCTTAACGAGACAATGTTATATTCAGACACAGTGTTATATAAGGCAATGATGAATGCCCAAGTGGACGTTACGTTTTGTGGAGAAGTGAACGATGTTGCTTCACTTATAAAAATATTTTATGTTTACTTACTATGCAAACTTGATTGTCAATAACTTTTTTTTATTTAGAATATGTATTAAATATATTATGGATCTCAAATTTTTAAGACATAATTTTTGCATTTTTATGATTTGTGATACAAAACATTTTGAACTTCTGTAAAAAAAATCAAATACGTAATAACGCATGCGGCATTGTTTTAATATTATTAAAGTTTCTTTCCGTTTCGTAACATCAACGGCAGAGTTTACGTAAACTTACTACCTGTTTATCCATTTCAATCTCGACAATTCAACAAAACGCCACGTCATTAGGTTTGTAAAATCCATTACACCGTTCAAATAGTGCAGTTTGATTAACTGTTCTGAACGTCAATCATCGAAGACGCGCTATGACAACACATAGTGTCAATCCCAACATTTAACAACGAGCCATCAGAACTGACGCCCTCAATACAGATAATTTCTTGTTTGTTACTTACATTATCGACATCACCATTTCTTTCACCTTTTAGCCTCTCAAGTGTAGCATTGTATCATCGTTTTTTATGATCAAAGATCCGTTGGTGACAGTTACACTTTTTGCTTTCTTTATCAGGCCCAAGATTAGGTGCAAACGCTACAGTTTTTACATCGTTTTTTGTTACCCCACTTAGATTTTTGAGGGTCACAGATAAAACGATGCTTTACGGGGAGAAATTTTGCCTCTCCATAAATCATGGCCGGTAATTAACCGTGAAGATATGGAGTTGAAACTTTTTAAATTAAGGGCTGTGACCTAAATTCTTGAAAGTCCGGATTAGAATTCATGAATATTTTGCGAGGAAGTTTTATAAATACATGTCCGGCGCAGTAAAAGCTTTTTGCTAGAGTCTTTAAAATGTTTTCTGTAAAAAGTTATTCAGAAACGTAATCCTAGGAGAGTTTGTGAGTAATTACAGTGCAGAACTGGTTCATAATAAAGCATTCAGATATGATCATACAGTCAAACCTGTACCGATCCAACGCTTGTAAATGGCTTATATAAATATCGTGATATTTGTTTTTATACTACCAATAACTTTGGACCGGCCTCACGATTTCAGTCTTCGCCGAAGAACAAAAAGAACAAATGTGTATGGTACTTACCATGTTTGTCGGCGGCGACGGCCACCCATAGCACGAGGAGCACGACACCCCCCCGCGCCATGTTCACTTGCGCGCACGCATCACCTAAAACAATAACGTTGGAAAGTTAGACCAATATTTACTTAGACGACTTTGTATTGGTACTGGCTTTGTGTGGTGTGTGAACATTTGACAATTAACGTTGCTTTAATATTATTCTGTTTATTTTTTTTAACTTATCATTAGCTTACATTCTTTTTTTTATTTTACAAGGCATTTAATATTAAATCAGTATCCTATATATTAAGACAAAAAACAAAACGGGTTTACCGCGCCGTATCGTCAGACATACTTGATTTACAATTCGACATAACAAGATTAGTTCACGTCAAAAAATAATATATAGAACCGTTTCTAATCAAAAATAATAGTTACAAAGTTTTTGAACGACATAAAAAAGGGCAACTGACACATTTCAAAATTTCAACTGATCATAAAAAATTCGGGAAACCGATGGCTAATATTTCTGATCATATCCGAAAGTACAAGCCCACCGCGTCATTAGCCAGAACACTTTTGTATGGCACCGCACCGTGACTAATAGGACCCTTTAGGGCCATTTTTGAGGAAAAAATAAATGGCCCTATTATAGGCCGGTAAGTAGAGGCTTGTGGTAAAAAGCCGATTTGGTGTGACGAAACACATTTTATAGAAATTGAACATGTTGTGTGAATAATGTTTGAAGAACTACTGCAAGAAGTATTGTTTACAAAAAGTTTTGGGTGTGATCAAAGAAACCGCAAAAGATTTTTATGGAGTAGAATAAAGTTCAAAATGTTATGTATTTTCCTTGCTACGTTTTAACTTTAAAGCCACCGTGTAGAAACGATGAAGTGTACAATATAAAAGAGGAATAATGGAGTGCATCAGCTGCTTACAATCCCACGCAACTTGTAAGAGATGACTGAGAGAAATGGGTTACTATGGCACTCCTATTAACAATGGTATAGCCACCTGTCATTACTATACATACTTATGATCATACAACTAGCACGGTACTGTTATATTGGAATTCAAACGGTACAATCCAACAAACATTATTTACATTTTGACTTGACTTTTATAAAGTGTCAACCGATCATATCAAAGTTGTCGTGGCACTTAATGACAAATTAAATGCTCTAAACTGTAATGATTAAGTGCCTGATAATTATGTAGATAATGAAACAGTAGCTACAAGGTTTAATAAAGTGTTTGATGAAAACAAAGATAGTGAAAGAGATCAAACAGATTAAACAATGTTCGTGGACACTGAATTTGAATAATGCAGCGAGTAAATGGACAAAGTTTTCGATTCGAATATGTGCAGGCTTAGACAAAGTTTTGATGGGAGTTAGATAATAAGTTACCGCTTTGACTTTTTCCTGCTTTGCACTGATTTTTACTGCTTGTGTTACTACTACAACAACAAATATTATTGATTAGTAAGTTACTTTATACTTAATACTTCTTACATATATTTTTGACGCAAGATAAAGGCAGTAAAGCACATCTTATTACGTTATTCCTTTTTTTATTTTACTTTACTCGACAAGACTATTTAAATCCAACACCTTAACACGAAGAATTGAGCTAATAAGCGAAGCTAAGAATTCACAGAACTCCGGAGAGCTCAACTAACTCTTGAAATACTTTGATAACATTTCATTAATACAACGAAATCCAAAGCTGAAGCATTTAAACCAAACGTTACCATTCATATAACAACTTACTGAGTAGAAAATAGCGTAATATAAAACCTTGTATTTGTATAAGATTATTGTTTATGTTAAGCAATGCTATTGCTCCTAGTTGCAACAATGTTGTATTTACTGTTGAATGCAGACTTTCAAATGAACTGTCAAATGTGTTATTGTTATATGTAGCTTAAATTATCGGTATATATTTTATTATGCCATTCCTGAATGTGTCAGATTCATGCTTAAGGTGCGGTTCCTTCTCGCCTACGTTTGGATTAGTATGATTTGGTTCGAGATTTATTCCTTCCTTGGTTTTTGATTTCTAGATATTTCGATTAGTGGTTAGTGTAGAATTATCTACATTATCTTACCTTACCGAGAAGAGAAAGTTAATCTTTACTCTTTTTTTTATATTTTAACCATTTTTAAATAAGAATTTCAACTAATACCAAGTTTTTCTTATTAATTAGCAGTAAGTAGTATTTTTTTTTTTAATTTCTTTCTGCACTCAAATAATGTCACAAACGTTCCAACTTCAAATTGCTAAACAATTCAACTAACTATACGGAACTCAGTATAATCTACAGTCTAAGTCAGTTTTAATTAAAATTTAAAACAAAGCTGAGACCGTGTTGTAAAAAGAAACTTCAAGATTTTGAACAAAGACCCGAGTCTTGTATTAAATCTTGGCAAAAAACTGCTATGCAGTTACTAAAGGAAAACTTTTCTTTTGGCTTGGCCGTAGTCACTTTATTTAAGTTAGTTTTAAGTTAAAACCATTTTTCTTAGCATTATTATTATAAACGCAAAATCGTGGTCGCTACTTGAAAATGCTACAGCGAAACGTAATTGTTTCCTGGAATTACAAAAATAGACTTTCTCTTAACAAAGGGCAAGTAGGAAAAATTCATTATTTATAAATTTCTGTGAATCTTAATAAGAGGTTTTTGTATTTATAGCAAATACGTTTTATCATTTAATGCTATTTGCTCTAAATTCAAGGTTCTATATCATTAGTTCATGGTTACGATAAATTTTAATTTAAGAATTTCAAGTGCAGCAAAACACACACTTAATATTTTGTAATTACTCTGCTAACTGTTTAGCGAAATAGCTCGATTAGCATCAAGTGACACTGGGCACTTACATTCATGAGCAGTTTCGCTCAATACACGTCGCAATAAAAAAAAACATCCATATTAATCATCAGTCGATACAAAAATATAATACCACGAATTCAAACCAGCTTAAAAAAAATTCTTACCACATCGAAAAACAAAACAAAACTATATCAATGCCATTCATTCATTAAAACACAGATAAAGTAAACTATCCTAAAATCAGTCTAAAATACCAAAAACGCTTCCTGATTATCAAGAAATCGATCGTACAAATTCATTCGTATTGCGTAACTGATTCTTCGTAAACAACACAGTTTAAGATCAATCAGATCTTGTTAAACCAAGGTGAACAGTTGGCCTGAATTGTAAGGGCATTATCGTTAGAACCTTGCACATACTGGTGGTGAACTAATTATTAAACTGATAATTACTGTTTTGTAAGATTGACTTTAGTGTAGAGAATGTATCTATGTATAGGTGTCAGGCATCAAGCCATTATCTCATCTTTTATTTCATTCAACTTCCTTATTAATACGTAGCATAGTGACTAAAATCGTATTATACAATAGCTTTATTTCATTAAGCCAATTGTTCTGACTTCTGTTAAGTTCATCTTTACCTATCCCTTCCAGTGACAGGCGATTTTTGTGTAAATCCTCTCTCACTGTTTCGTAGAAAAAGGACATTGTTGGATGTATTGATTTTAAAATTATCATCGTAACATTGTATTCGGCATCGTAATGATGATATACGAAAATAATACCACAGGGAGCCACACACAGGAGTAATAAAAATAAATGTAGAAAGTTTACGTGCTGTAAAAGCCCTGTTTACTCCCATGGGGGAAATTGGTAATCTGTAAATGATTCTTTACATATTATAGTTAATCCACGTATCTCCAATAATATAATAACCTATTATTCTAATGATTAATTTTAAAACCCATTCTTTCTCACTAAGAATTTCTCTTGTATTTTTTAAACATAGGATTTATATATATTACACTAGGATTTTCTGCTGTGTTGTGGGTGCGTTTACAAACATACACTGTCACATACACATCACACCCAGACCCGGAACAACTATTCGTAGATCACACTAAGAGTTGTTCCGTGCGTGCAGTTTGAGTTGAATAAGCGCAAAAATCATACGCGCATAAGAAGGTCGATGCTTTTCTTTACCTAAATATCAGTCCATGGAATAAACTAACAACTATTTAGTACAGCAACCAATTGTTCGGCCACTAAATCAACCATACAATAGTAAAGGCGTTATATTTCTGCTAAAATATTATCAAAACCATGGCCAATGAAATATTAATGTTGCATTTTATTGAATGATGAATGGCAATACTCTAATTTATGATGTTAAAATTGAATGCTATTATGTAGCCATTAAATAATTGCTCAAACAGTTATTCAGAGTTGATCAATGAACGTGGTAATTTAGATTGATATGTCCTCTACATTGAAAGGTATCAATAGGCATTCGATCAATTATTTCATTAAGTGTTGACACTCAAATTTGGCAAGGTCTGAGTGTTTTATTCGGAAAATGTTGTAATTGACACGAAATTTTCGCCAGAGCTTTTTCCACACATCGTAACTATGTAGACTATTAATACTTTTGTCTCGAAACTAGTTTGGTATCAAACTTAAGCCTTACTACTACTTATTTTAATTTCTTTTTTCAAAAATCATAGACTGCATTCACTTTTCGTGATCGTTATATCAGCCCAGATTCACTCACTGCTGAGGATAAGCCTCCACTTTCGACTGCTTCATGGTTCCCAGAGATATACGATATCGTTCACCTAACGCATTTATTTCTTCAACGTGGTCGTAATTCAAATTCCTTACTCCCGTAGTGACTGTACCAAAAATCAAACTAATGAATAGTTCAAACATCCAGCCCAAACTTCCGATCATTAGGCAATGAGATGAGCATACAAATTATAAAGTTACAAGGTGAGCCCTACCTTCGCTTCGTTAATAAGGCAAGCTACGTGCGTGCGACTGATCTCAACTTTAGATTAGTTCGTCCTATTTTCGGTTGCGACATTCTTGTTTTCTCTTTTTAGATCGAAAGATTTCTGCCTTTCGTTTTTACCTCTTAATAGAAGTAATAGCCAAACACTCTAAACACTACAAGCTTTACTCGAATAGAACTTACTCAATTTATCTACAAAGTAAAACAAATTTACAACTACGACTACAACGTAAACTGCGAATAAATTCTCAATTTGCATAGCTCTTATCGTAATCTTTAATCAAATCTAACTTTACGAACTTAACACATAAGTTTATTTAATGTTCGTAATGGTTGCTATTACGCAATCCATTGAAACAGATGAACTCGACACCGAGCCTATCAATGGCATCTATCCATTCAATATTTTGTAGCAATCGCGACGTAATTCTGCGACAATCGAACGTCGCAATCGCAAGTTTGCAATTCACTTTATTACCGGCGCACAACGTAGCTTAGTCGAACTCTGCGATAAGAGCTTCCGTGGGCAATCTTATCGCTACTGTAAACAAACCTTAGAGATTTTGCATGTTTAATGAACATTCGTGTAGCGTTGATTGTAGCGAGGCCTTATTATTTATTTACTTTCATACTGTTTCTTCCTTAGGGGAGAGAGTTCCAACTTGTGCAGGCTAACAGATGATTGACATCATGTTACTCATATTAAAACGACCTTTCTATCATCTGCTTGCAAGTGTTGTTACCAAGCAAGACACACCAGATTCAAAAACTTATTCGGCCTTATTACAAAATAAGGTTTTACTTTAGTCTAGGACTAAACCATTGAGCCAGTTTTCGTATTTCGAATTGAAGATAGATGACAATAAGATTCAAAATTCAAAACCCGACTTAATGGTTTAAACCTGGACTAAAGATAAACCTTGTTTTGTAATACGGGGGATTGGGTTTATATTTTTTTTATTTATCGCTCTGTTTTTTTCCCTGATTTATTGTAGCGGAACGTTTACCCCTACTTACATGGAACTCAAACACTTACTATGTACTATAGTTTACTCTGTAAGTATTGCCTACACTAAGGAAGTTATAACTGACTGACTGACGAATAACATCATCACACACTTTTGTTCATACAAAAATATCCAGTGATGATCCTTCGATCGTCCATCGATTAACTTAATTAATAGTTTGCCTCGCCTTAACGTCCATAAAATTATAACTCGACTTGAAATTTATAACGCACGAATTATAGCAGTCACCTTTAAATGTATTATGATTGTTCGAAACTAAATCGTGTTCACATAAATTTATATTATGATATAGCGTTATATAATACTGTAATAAAAACATATATAAATCATTGTACCTACATACAAGTATTATGGTTAATACGAATTTCAATTAATCACTACCTTGGCTTGGTTAGAACTACATTTACTACTACCGTACTACAATTATCTGTGATAAATTCTTAACATCAAATTGTACTGTTTAAGGCCACGGATAGAGGTCACTTTTGTCTTTATCACGCATTCTATTATTCATAGTAGAAAAGTGCTATGAGAAAGAATCTAACGTATTTCAGTTAGTTTAAGGTATAATAAAATATAAAGAAAATGTTTTTATATCCATTTCTAAATCTAAAATCAAAACCTCTTCCACTGATGTATTGTTTTATAATTAATTCACTGAGGAGGAACAACCGTAGAAGATATTTTAATTTAAAAAGAACCAAAAAATTCCATCTCACACATTTCACAAATTCAATAAACTTCACTAATATACTGCGATGTCAACGACAGGCACACGTGACATCAAACCGATAAAATTTTAAACATCACCGATAATTTGAAAATCAAAAGTAAACATTACAAATCAACAACGTTACATAGGTACCTATCTTGAGGAAGTTGTTTGAAACCATGTTCAATTCGTTGATAACACATTGATCAAATACTCTATCGCTTTATATGATACCGCGCGTAGTTTTTTTACGCAATACAGGACCAAGGAAATTGGAATAATTATGTTTTAAACCAAACCTCTTTAGGGATAAAGAAGTAATTAGTGTACCGGATTCATATTTAATTAAAACGGGTAAATAAACTTTACTACCCAGTTTTCCAAATAGCCAATTGTGTAAAAACTATAATGGTGTTACACATAGCTGTTAATATGTAATTATCCTCACTAAGGACTTATCAGATAATAGTAGTTTAAAACCGTAATCCTCGTTTTTACTTCTAATCTAAAGCATTTAAAATACTACATTGAAAATTGTGAAGGGATGTGAAGTTCACAGACAGTCAAAAGCCTTGAGAACGTTCATATAAAAAGTGACTGTCGTAAGTGCACCCTATGTTACCTAATCACCTCAAAATTGCCGGTATCTCAAACAAAATCACAACAGAGATCGTTAGAGCTTTCCCCTTCGTATCTCCTGGACCATCTTCTACACGTGACAAAGCATCATAATGGGAATCGACATTAGCCTATTTATGCTGTTCCATCTTATCAGATGTTGTCTCTCCTACCGTCACAATTGCAGCCGCTTTTACCGTTGTGAGTCGTAAAAAAGCTACATAATAGTTTTTGGTGCCGTCGTTGAGTAAGATTCTGATAAATCCGTGACCGACTTCCATATCTCCTTAGACGTAGTTCAAGTCATAAATCTTGTTTTATCAAAACTATCTGTCGTATAATTGGATGGAGAGTAAATAGGGACACTCAGAAAGATACGAATTGTTTTCATTGTTACGAACGTTTGAGAACCCGATAAATTTATTTCCTAACAGACAATATTTTTTATTAAACAGCCATAATGAAATAATGCATGGCCCTCATTAAATTAACTGTCATTACAAAGTGTACTGAAATAGTTACCCGAATAAAACACCGGAAATAGAATGCATCAGCGACGATTTATAAAATAAAAACAATCCACAAGAGGTTCACTCCAAACTTTATACAAAATCTGTCACTCCCGAATACTGAAAACATACGACAAATCGCATCACAGTTGCTAAAATGTTATCAGTTTCACTTCACGTATGTAAATTACACTAAGGAAAACAGTTTTCACAAACGCGGTATCGTAAGCAGCGCGGTTGGGACGCCCGAGTGTCAGCGTCCGTCCCTCACGACCGTCCGACTTCAACTGTCGCGGCAACAAGGGAAAGGGACGCAGGGGCAAGAGGGAACCTCTCCAACCGAGGAGATAACTTTTGATCTTTTTGGTGCCATAGAAGATTTTAATGATGCACTCACATCTGGAGATTCGACAGAAAAAGTGTGCGTAGATGTTAGGCGTTAATGCATGTCAAGGGCTTAGTGGAAACGACGTGTCAAAAAAAGCTTAGTTGTGGTTGCGGGTGACATTTTTAAAAATAGTATCGATAGGCAAACTTTGTGTTTGAGCTTAGGAGATATTTTCAAATGGTTACTTCGCGAGCTCTGGAGATTAGAATCTTCGTTGAAAACTGGAAGAGCCTGTTGTCGCGGGGGTATTTTGCTTCATATTCCGCGGTATTATTTTCACATCATCCGATGTCTTGGGGCAGACAATATTGCGCAAGGTTTTTGTCCCTGCCCCGCACATGTCAGGGTACAAAGGGGCGAGGAGCGGAGCAGGTACAAAAGATCCCAACCCCGCTTCAAGTTACAACGGCCATAGATTAATGACGGGAACATTGTGGAGTTAAGAACCCAAAAATTTACAACTGCATTGTATTCGTCCCGTAACAAAAGAGCACAAAAGATAGGATCGGCTTCTGTTATTACCTTATCGTTTATCTGCGCGTTGATTTCTCTCACTTTTCGAGTAATACGAGTTACATTATCAATGCGGATTTCTTTCTCAGCTACTACAGATGTTTGGAGGGCGTACCGTTATTGCATACAAATAATTCTTTTAAAATCTCGAGTATTCTTACAAATTTCAACAAATTCAATGGAATTGGACACAATAGAATCTTGAGTTACATTTGTCAATAATAATCTATTGGGAGCTAATCATTCTTCAATTTATAGCTTCCAAAATTTATTATTACCGTTTCTTTAATGTAGTGCGTGCTTCCTTTCCAAGTAGCATGTTGAATTTTTATTTGAGTATCATTATCGCGTTTAGTTTTTGTAGGATGATGTCATTTAATCCAAGTCCTGAATGTTAATCATTGGATCACTTTTCAACTGCCATATTATCTGTTGCCAAAGTTATTTTAACATTTATAATTAATTCCTTTTTAGGTTGTGACTTTACGCACGTAAGCAGTTGGTTTGATCTAATTGATATTTTTGAGATAATGAGCGACTTGGCCTAATTTTTTCGACGAAAATATATACTTTTCGTCGGTCTTGTCGTTTTAGTTTAGTTTTATACAAGAACGATTTTAAATATATTACTTCGGTATTGTTAATTAGTGGAGCCTGTGCACGATTTATGACGACAGTCTTGTCCTATGTTAAAACACTGACATAATCACACAACTGGCGAAAAATCGCCGTATACATCACTGTCTTCGTGGAAAAATAAACAAAATACACAGAAATATGATCCAATTTATCGTTGAACCTCATATTTGAGATCCAGAGCTTTCATATGGTAAGTGCCTGTTAACGAGTACAAATTCTAGTCACAATGAAAGTAAAACTCTTTAAAGCAAACGAAACTGATTGATAGCTCGGCTCAACAATAAAAATACGACGACGCATAAATCATTGGAAACAGTAGTGTAGCGCTGAAATAAAGGTCCCGTCACACGGCAAGTCACGGCCGGTAATGAGTAATGGGCGAGCGTTCATTACTCAACGACGCCCCGCAGTTTACGCGTCATCTGTCGTCATGTCTCGTGTGTTAGGGCCTTACTATGGATTTGAAGTGTGTGTGAAATGAGGAAAAGAATATGTTTCACCGAAGATTGATTTTTAAGCTTCATTATCTCTGAAGTCGATAAGTGGGAGATTATTTTGTAAGTTTGTCTCAGTGTTGAACCTTTTTTTCAAGTGTGTTAGGTGTTAAAACATATGTGTATAGGCAAGTGACATATCCCTGTCAGATATTTTATTTTTATCTTTGTAACACTGAACCTTACACATACATTCATCATTTAGTTCATACGGATCAGCTTCAAATGTCACTATTGCTTTAAAGCTTATGTTTTCACTGAGTCGGGGGTCGACAGCGCTCCTGCCTCGCCATAAACTCATTCACCGTGAAGATAACGCATCACAATGCCAGCGAAAGCCAAAAGGGTTGACAATATTCGGGCTTTTAAAACACGTCCATCAATTTTTACGAGATTGTTTTGCTCCCGTACACCATAATTTTACAACCGCTGCCGCGTCGTCGCCAACTGTATGCCATGTGTGCGATGGTAATCTTATGGCGGTCGCCGAGTTATTGCTGTACTGGGCCCTAATTTTTCAGGGTTTTTTGATAGCAATTCATTTAAACTTGTTTATGTTTATACATTTACTGTTATTTTTTTAACCGATGTAAGCTTTGTTTTGAGAATTATAACTGTTTATAGAGAAGATGCGAACAACGAATTGTTTTTAAGCAAAGTGGACCCTACAAAAATAAGACTTAGATTAATTACTTCATAGATTTAACATTTAAAGAGATTCTCAAGTTTGCCTTTTTGTAATTCAAGGACAGTATAAACAGAAGAAAGTAAAATGCCGACCCCAATTAATTTGTTTTGCTAATTAATCCTATAAATCTCTTGGCGGTTGCAGCCACAGTTTTGATTGTTTAGCCAGAGAAGAGATTTACTTTTGTATATTCATTTTGTTTTTGAATGGAATTATTAGGTTCAGAAGTCACAAAATAAGAGTTATGACATTGGTAAGGATAATAAACTCTATACTGATTGAAATAAAATCACAATTTAATGGTAAAGTTTTTGCAAGACTTGCTTATCATCAATGTTTGAAACATTCTTCGGTAAACTGACAGTACTTAACAAACGTTAATCAAAATCTGCTGTACTTCATGCAAGTAGCATCTTTTACCTTTTTAATGTTTACATTAATGTAAGCAAAGTTTTCCTCTAACTTTACAATAACATTTTGCGAATACCTGTATCTTTTCTTCCACTAAATATCCCTCTAATCCATTTTAATATTGCTTAAGGATATTTTTTGTGAAATTTATCATCTCATCCATATTCTTTTTTCGTTTCCCAAAATGAAGACTAATTAAAACGGCGACCTCAATTCGTTTTTGCTAATTAATCTCCACAAATCGTCCTGTGGGTTCAACCACAATTCTGATTGCTTGTGACCGCTTCCCGCAACCGTCTATTTGTTATTCTAAGAACGTGCACTCCCTGTCCATCCGTTGCATCGTGCATTTCTTAGATGTGCACCGCGCTTGCGACTTTTAGTCGTGGAATTGTATTGATGCAATTGTTGCTGTAACTTAATGAATTATTTATTTAATTGATATCGATCGAAGTATGAACAGATATTAGTATGGTCAACTTGATTATAATTTTATGTACATTGAATTATGATTGTGGTAAAGTTTTAATTTAGGTTAGTGTAAAAACTTCATGCGTATTTGTTTCAGAGTTGCTGAATTTTTTTTTTATTTGGTGTATGTTTCAAGGTATACATTATCAGTTAAAACGTCAACTGATCAGACGGTTTATAAATTATGACTTGAAAACTATTGAGTTCGCGACGCCAGACAATAAATACATAGTGATGCTTTATTCATACTTTTGGCTTTATTCTCGCGTTTGTCTCCAGTGCTGACGTATAAAAATTCGTTCACGGCCAATTTACGCTTGTTTTCGATTGAACAGGGAGAATGAAGACTTGAATCTTTACGACTAGTGGTGTCGTGTGCTGAATTGTTAAGATATGGCTCATCAATGGGAAGAGATAGGAAGTTCTTGGTTTAAGGAGTTAGAGTTCATTATTAGGTATTTTGTCTGAACTGTCAAATAAAGTTAGGATATCTGTTTGGTCCGTGGCATCAAGTAGTTTTAATTTAAATTGCGGTAATAAAGTTAAAATTACCACGTATTTAGGGTAAATACTTGTAACTTAGTACTTCTTTAAGAGTTGATGTATATAATTTAATAAAGACATTTGAAAGTAAAATCATGTAACAGAACCAAAATATTATAAGAACTCAGGCATCGCGGAAAAGTATAACCGTTACGAACGATTTCACTCTAACAATAGGACAAGGTACACGACACTCGATGAAAAAACTCAACTCGTACCTTAATGGAATCTTTACAAGTCGATCTATTATCGCTCGTAGAAGTCACGTAGAATATTAGACGCTGCTCGATATTCGATCCCGAAACACGATCTGCTAAGAAGACGGTTGAAAAGCGAACAGTTAACGATGTAAACTTAGGATTAATTTTCTCGGTGTTTGAGTTGTACTGAGCATCTAAGCAATGAACGATGGGCTCGCCCGCGGGGAGAGTCAACAGTCGCCAAGGATATAATTTCAAAGTTGCAACGCCATTACATTGAATGCCTGACGTGGCTCGCGTATATTTTAGAATTTGCTGTCCGTAAAGTAATGGTATCGTTGGAAATGATATTACATTGGGCTATGACTTTCAACATTTTGATATGTGAGCTGGAATTGTGGCCGTTTTATAGCTTCAGAACTTGCACTCACTTTTATACATTTACTATCATCATATCTTATGATGATAGTAAATGTATAAAAAAAATATTTCGACGCTTGAGGCAAACTATTTAATGATCTGAGACAGGCATAGTTATCAGAAAATCGGACATCCCATCACTTACATAGAATATTAAAATCATTCCACAACACCTTAAAATAATCAAAGTTACAGAAATATCAACTAAACAACGAGGAAGTAGTTAAGTTCTTAACTGTTGTCTTTACCAAAACCTTTAGAACAATAATTTATAGTTATTACAAAGTGGCGAGCTTAATACAACGAACTATTTGTTCTAGTAGCAATTATAATTAGT